GGATAGAGGGAGATAGTAAAATGGATAGAGACAGGGAGAGATACGAGGAGGGAGAGCGAGAGAGAGAGTGTGAGAGAGGGAAAGAGGGAGAAAATGAGAGAAAGAGGTAAAGGAAGAGAGAAAAAAGGAAAGAGAGAGGGAGAATAGGAGATAGAGAGGGATAACGAGAAAAGGAGTGAGAGGGATGAAAGGAGAAAGAGGTTAAAAGGGATAGAGGAAGATTGGGAGATTGAAGGAGAAGGAGGAAGGGAGAAGGAGAGAGAGAGATGAGGGAGAGAGGGAGTGAGAGCGCTAGAGAATGAGAAAGATGGAGAGTGGGTAAAGGAGAGGGAGAGAGAAAGGGAAAGAGAAAGAAAGAGCGGTAGGGAGAGGGAGAGAGAAAGGGAAAGAGAAAGAAAGAGAGGGAGGGAGAGGGAGATTGAAGGAGAGGGAGAAAGGGAGAAAGAGAGATGGATAGAGATAGAGAGAGGCAGAGAGGGTGGGAGAGAGAGGTAGAGAGGGAGAGAGGGAGAATGGGATAGAAAGAGAAAGTATGAGAGAAAGGGCAAATGAAGGAGAGAGAGAGAGAGAGGAAGAGAGTGAGAGAGGGTGATAGAGAGTTAGAGAGGGAGAAGGAGAGACATGGAGAAAAACAAAGAGAAAGAGAGAAAAAGAGAGGGTGAGAGAGAAATAGAGGGAGGGGAGAGAGAGAGAGGGAGAGAGGGGGAAAGAGATGAAGAGATAGAGGGAGTGAGAGAGCGGTAGGGTGAGGGAGAGAGGAAGGGATAGAGATTGAAAGAGAGAGGGAAAGGAAAGGAGAGTATGAGGGGAGAACAAGAGGGAGAGAGGGAGATGGACATGGGGAGAGAGGGAGGGAGATAGAGAGAGAGAAAAAAGGAAGGGTGAGGGAGTGAGAGGGAGCAAGAGAGGGAGAGTGAGAGGGAGAGGGAGAAAGAGAGAGGGAGAGAATATGGGAGAGGGAAAGAGGTGGGAGAGAGGGGGAGAGAGGGAGAGAGAGATAGAGAAAAAGGCAAAGAGAGTGAGACGAAGGAGAGGGATAAAAAGGAAGAGGTAGAGAAATTGAGAGAGAGAGAGGTAGAAAGGGAAGGGATATTGGGAGAGAGAGAAAGGGAGAGAGGGAGGGATAGAGAAGGTGAGAGAGGGGAGATAGAAGGAGAAAGGTAAAGAATGAAAGAGATGAGAGAGAGAAAAAGAGAGATAGAGAAAGGAGAGAGAGAGAGAGAGAGGGATGAAGGAAGAGAGTAAGAGAGAGAGAGATGGAGAGAGTGAGGCGGGGAGGGAAATAGATAGAAAGAGAGAGCAAGGGAAGGGAAAGGGAGAGGGAGAGGAAGGGAAAGAGGGAGGGTGGAAGGGGAAAGATTGAAGAGAGGGAGATCGGTAGAGAGGGAAAGGGTGAGGAAAAGAGGGAGGAAGGGGGGAAGATAGAGAGGGAGGAAGGAAGGGAAAAAGTGAGGGAGCTTGAGTGAGAGAGAGAGAGATAGAGAGAGAGGGCAAGAAAGAAGAAGGGAAAGGGAAGGAGATTGAGAAAGAAAGGGAGATAAGGAGTGAGGCCGAGGGAGGGAGGCCGAGGGAGGGAGGGCGAGAGAGGGAGAATGAGGGATAAAGAGGGGGAACAAGAAAAAGAATGAGAGGGAGAAAGATAGGAAGAGGTTGAGAGGGAGAGAGAGGGAGAGAGGGAGAATAGGAGATAAAAGGAAAGGGAGGAAGGAAGAAGAGAGAGGGAGAGAGATAAGGAGAGAGTGAGTAAAAGGGTCGGAGAGAGTGAGAAAGATGGAGAAAGGGTGAAGGAGCGAGAGAGGGAAAGGAAAAGAGAAAGAAAGAGAGTGAGAGAGGCAGAGGGAGAGTGAGAGAGGGAGAAAGAGAGATGGAGAGATAAGGAGAGAGGGTGGGAGAGAGAGGTGGAGAAGGAGAGAGGAAGAGTGGGATAGAGAGGGAGAGGGTGAGAGAGAGAGAGGGTGAATGAGGGGAGAGAGAGAGAGATAGGAATAGAGCGAGAGAGGGTGATAGAGTGAGAGAGAAGGAGAGAGAGAGGGAGAGAGGGAGAGAGACAAAGAGAAATAGAAAGAAAAAGAGAGAGGGTGGAGAGAGAAGGAGCGAGAGAGAAGGAAAGGGAGGGAGGGAGGGAGAGAGGGGGAGAAACAGGGAGAGATGAAGGAAGTGAAAGAGGTTGAGGGAAGGAGGGAGAGAGGGAGGGGGAGAGAGAGAAAGAAAGAGGGAAAGGAAAGGAGGGTATAGGGAGAGAAGAGGAGGAAGAAAGGGGGACAGAGGGGGAAAGAAGAGGGAGAGGGAGGGAGAGAAAGGGAGTGATAAAGGTAGAGAGGGGTAAGGAAAGGAGGAGAGAGGGAGGGAGATAGAGGGAGAGAAAAAGGAAGGGTGAGGGAGTGAGGGGAAGTAGGAGAGGGAGAGTGAGAGGAAGAGGGATAAGAGAGAGAGAGAGAGTGTAGGAGAGATAAAAAGGAGGAAGGAGAGTGAGAGAGAGAAAGCAGAGGGAGATACGAAGAAGATAGAGAGAGTAAGATAGAAGAAGAGAGAAAGGCAAAAGTGGGAGTAAGAGAATGAGGAAGGAAAAGTTGGAGGGAGATTAGGGGAGAGATAGGGAGAGAGAGAGAGAGAGAGGGAAAAGAAGTCGAGAGAGGGAGTAAAAGAGTGAGACAGAGAAAAGGAGAGAGATATAGAGAGAGGGACAGAGTGTGAGGGAGAGAGAGAGGGAGGGAGGGAGATATATAGAAAGGGAGAGGGAGAGGGAGCGAGGGGGAGAGATGGAGGGAGAGAGTGGGTAAGAGTGAGGGAGATATAGAGAGGGAGAGGGAGAGGGAGAAGGAGAGAGGGAGAGGGAGGGAGAGAGGGGGAAGGGAGAGAGAGTGAGAAAAAGAGAGGAGGAGGAAGAGGAAAGAGAGAGAGGGATAGATAGAGAAGGAGGGAGAGACGAAGGAGAGTGAGAGAAAGGGAGAGAAATAGAAGAAAGGGAAAGAGAGCACTAGATAGAGAGAGATGGAAGGGGAAATTAAGAGGGAGAGAGGGAGAGAAAGAGAGAGGGAAAGTGAGAGAGAGGAAGAGAGATAGAGAGAGCGAAAGAGAGCACTAGATAGAGAGACATGGAAGGAGAAATTAAGAGGGAGAGAGGGGGAAAGAGAGAGGGAAAGTGACGGTAGGAGAGGGGGAGAGAGAGGGAGAGAGATTGTGAGAAAATAAAGAGGAACAAGAGAGGGAGGAAGGGAGGGAGGGAATGAGGAGAGAAAGGGGTAGAGAAAAGGGAGAGGGTAGGAAGAGAGAGAAGGAGAGAGGGAAGGGGCGAAAGGGAGGGAGAAGGAGAGAGTGGGAGAGGGAGGAGAGAGAAATAGGGAGAGGGAGAATGAATGGGTCGAGGGACGGAAGGAGAGAGTACAGGTGAGAGTGAGGGAGAGATAAAGAGTGAGAGGGAGAGGGAGAGATAGTGAAAAAGAGACAAGATGGAGAAAGAGAGAGAAAGAGGGAGGGATGGAGAGAGAAGGAGGGATAAAGAGAGAGAGATAAAGGAGAAGAGTGAGAGAGAGGGAGAGATCTAGATAGAGAGACAAAGAGGGGATGAGAGATTATGAGGGAGAGAGTGAGGGAGAAAGGGGTTAGAGAGAAACATAAGGAGGGTAGAAGAGAGGGAGAGAGGGGGAGAGTGGAGGAGAGAGAGGGAGAGGGGAGAGAAAGAGGGGGAAATGAAGAGAGAGGGAGAGAGGGAAAGAGAAGTGAGGAAAGGAAGAGAGGGAGAGAGAGGGAAAAGGAGGGAGAGAGGGAGAATGAGTAAGAGAGATAAATGAGAGGGAATGGGAGGGAGAGAGAAAGAGAGATGGAGTGAGAGAGATGGGGAGAGAGACCGAGAGGGAAACGAAAAAGAGGGAGAGTGGGAAAGAGAGGGGAGATGGAGAGAGGGAGAGAGAGATAGTGGGATGGGGGAGAGAGGGAGAGGGAAAAGAAAGAGGGAGAGTGGAAGAGAGGGAGGGAAATGGGGAGAGAGGGAGAGGGAAGAGGTGAGAGATGGAAAGGGAGAGAGAGGGAGAGAGAGGGGATGAAAGATGGAAAAGGAGAGAGAGGGAGAGGGAGAAGGAGAGAGAGAGGAAAATAGAGAGGGAGAGGGAGATAGAGAGAGGAGAGGGGTGAGGAAGTAAGAGAGAGATGGAGAAAGAAGGGGAGAGGGAGGGAGAGAGAGATGGAGGGAGGGAGAGAGAGTGGGAGGAGTAAGTGGTAGGGGGAGAGAGAGAGGGTGATAAACAAATAAAAGGGAGAGAGGGAGATAAAGAGAGATAGGAAGAGAGATGGGAATGAGAGAGTGAGGGAGTGAGGGAGAGAAGAAGGGGGAAAGGGATAAAGAGGGGGAGGGAGGGAGAGAGGGGAGGGAGGGAGAGAGGGAGAGATATGGAGAGAGGGAGTGAGAATGTTAGCACTTAATGTTTTTTCCAAAAAAAGAGAGAAGATAAAGAGAGAGAAATAAATAAAAAATAAAGAAGAAAAAAAGAAAAGGGTGTAAAAAAATACAATTGGGGGTACAATTAAAAAGGATTGAGAAGAGAAGCAAAATAAAATGGATTACTAAATGAGGGAACAAAATGGATTTTAGCCATAAAAACCTAAAAACCTAGTATAAAAACACCCCTTTCCCCCTAAAAAGAGGTAGCTATTGTTCACCTCCTCCAAAAATACCTAGCCGCCAACCTCCCACTACCCTCTCTCACATGTAGCGTTCCTCCCACCATAGCAAATAAGTTAGTCAAAGAAAACAAGAAAAGAAAAAGTGTTAAGAATAAGATGAGGGAGTGGAGGCGGAACTTCAAACATGGCAAGACATAGTAGTCGAAGAGGATAATTAGAAAACCCTCCGATGCTAATTCCAAATAGAGTTATCTTCAACGTCCCTCAACTTTAATGATCTATAGCGATAATATGATCAATTTAACGATGATCTAGGTGTCAAGAAAACTAAGGTAGAAGAGCTTTAGAAGAAGAATGTTGATTTGGTAAAGTCTCTTAAGGAGGAATGTGACAACAAGAAAGAATTGGTAAAGCAACTTAAAGAGGCGCGAAAGAGAATTACTTCATTGGAAAGAGATAACCAACAGTTGGAGGTAGACCAAGCACATAAAATCCATATATTTTTCCAACATACATAACCACCTATTATAGATATGTGACGAACGTAATGAAAGTCCGATCAAGATGACTAATCAAGCTAATGTGGTTACTCGAGAGGTGATAGCTCCGTGAAATTTGAGTAGAAAGGTCTACGAAGGCATAGTACATAACCCCCGCCAATCATTCATGATATACTTAAATAGATGTGATGACTTGTTGTTTGAAGTGGCCGGACGAGGAAGGGTCTTTAGTGTGTGATGCATCACCTAGATGTTTTCTTGTAATTCTTTCTCTTTTAGGACATTCATTATTTTTTCGCATGTACTATGAACGGAATAAATTTCACTTGGATTTTCCATTTTTGATCAATAAAAGTTATGGCTTTTTCTTATGGATGATATTTCTTTCCTCTCAAAGGATGTGATAATCTATTGACAATACCGTTAATGATAACAAGGACATTGAATTTGTCAATCCCTACTCGAATGCCTTTGATCCTTGGATAAGAAATGACTTATTTCGGATAAAACACCTACAAGAGAGTGATCTCCCTAGATTTGAGAACATCTATGATGAGATCGTTCCTTTGAAAACATGATTCACTCGTATAAAAAACAAGGTGAAGGGTTACCGATGAGATCTCTTCTCTAAATCAATCGACCATAAAGTACAATCTCCAGGGAAGTCTTAATGGTTACCGGTGAAACCATCATTCACTTTTAAACCAATTCAAAACAATCTTAAGCAATAAAAAACTCCTTTTATCACCCTCTAAGTGAAGGTTATTCCATATCTAATCTCATTTTGAACAGAAACATAGGTTGATCTATCGAAACTATACTTCCCTCGTGCACCCACCACACTAGAGCAAGAAAGAGGATGGAGATTGAAGAAAGGGCTCTACTCGAGCAGAACCACCAAAGGGAGGTGAAGATGCTAGAGGAAGAGATTACTAGTCTTGCTACCCGCTAAAACAAAGTTAGCAAAATTACATGATACTAGAAGTCACCGTCCGAAGAGAAGTCGGCTAGCCATGGGCATCCCCGAAGTGTTCACTACCATGGCATCATCGATCACTCAAACTACTATTCCAACACACCTTTTAGCATGCCCCATAGGGAGCCTATTGATACCGCTAATCATGCTAAACATCGGATGGTAGGAGGTGCATATGATTTTGCCTCTCGTCCTTCGGGACCTACCTTGGTGTTGCCTTAGGTCGGCCAAGCATTGATGATGGCCACTCTTGATTTTATCACTAAAGAGTTGGCTAAGGAGAAGATGGCTTCAAGATTGGAAATAGAGAAGCTCATAACTATTGAGGAGCATTTAAGTGCTATAGATGGTGTAGACATGTATAATCCTCTCCTCAACATCGATAAGTGTCTAATGCCAAATGTAATGATTCCTAAGAAGTTTAAGGTGCTTCGAGTTTACCAAGTACATTGGGAGCCAGTGCCCTAAGGCTTACTTAAGGATTTATTTGAATAAAATAACCGAGTTGTCATATGACAAAAAGCCGCCGATCCATTTCTTTCCCGAGAGCCTCAATGGGTCCGCCCTTAACTAGTTTATTGACTCGGATTAGTTTAAGATCCAAAAGTAGAAGGATTTGGTGGATGTGTTCATAAGGCAATAAAAATTTAACTTGGAGATAATACCGGATAGATCGAGCTTATAGGCTACGTAAAAGGGCTCAAAAAAATTGATCAATGAATATGCTCAAAGATGGTGAGAAACAAGTATCTCGCATTCATCCGCCCCTTCTAGAGATAGAATTGGTTATCCTTTTTGTTAACACTTTCAAGGCCCCATACTATGATTATTTATTGAGTAACGACTCGAATAATTTGATTGAAATAGTATCAACAACCGATTGGATTAAACAAGCTATCAAGTCGGGAAGGATAGCCAACCTTTATGAATCTGGATATAAGGAAAGTAACTTTGGTAGGAGGAGAGACTTTGAGGTGCACCGGATTGAAGAGTCTTCTATTAATCATATAGGAAGATGGAACAAGTCATGGGGAAATGGCAACCAATTCACCTCCCATAGTAATATAGCCAACCCAAACACCTAGTTTGCAATCCCTATAAGTGCTTTCCCAACCAATGTAGCCGAACCGACCACCCAAACATCAACTTTTCACTAATATCAAATGCCACACAACCCATACCAAACTACCTAAGCACATGCCCTACCCTAACACCAACCTCAAACAAACTACCAAAACCCACAACTATTCACAAACCAACTAAGACCAAATCAAAATTTCCTAACAAACATTACTAGGGGGCAATTTAACAATATATTACCATCACTTCCTATATCCCTCGGTGATCTCTTGAAACATCTCATAGCTATTGGTCGGATAGCCCATGTGATACTCCCACCACTTCAACTCGCTACTTCCCTATTGGTATAAATCTAATGAAGTCTATGACAACCATAAGTGAGGCTAATGGTCATAATATTGAAAATTGTGTGAGCATTAAGAAGAGGGTATAAATTTCGATCAATCAAGGCTCGATAGCATTCAAGAATTCCTTAAATGCCCCGAATACCAACTCTAACCCTCTCCCAAATCATGCTACAGGAAGGGTAAACATACTATTAGTAGGAAATGTGAAATATGCTAAAAAAGATCAGCTATGAAAATATCTATGTCTAGGCTATTTGACATATTGAAGGCTAATGGTTTTGATAAGAAGCCTACCAAATCTTAGGCTTCCACCTATGTTGATCGATTTTGCAAATTCCATAAAGTGAGGGGGCACGATGTCAATGATTATCATGAGTTTCACTAAGAAATTCAAACCATGTTGACTTTAGGGACCTTAAGGATAGAGAAGAAAGAGACAGAACTAGTGGTGACCTCATGTTTCAAAAATAAGAAATCGAATTAGTCAAATATGAGGTGAATGGAACCAATCCTATGAAGCCGATATTGAAGGCTCATGTTTCTATGAATGCTAATTATCGAGCCACCCCTTGTAAATATAGGCACTCTCCTCTAGTCGATGGATCAAGTTTTGTGATGAAGATCTCTTCTGTGGGATAGTTGATATAGGAGGAGTTACACAATTAAGGAGATGCTTTACTCCGAAGAATTAAGGGAAACGAAGGGGAAGGAAGTCAAGACTACTCCCTTGATTTACGTAGTAAGCAAGCCTATGAAGGAAGAAGAACCGATGTAATTCTTGAAACTTATGAAACATAGCGAGTATAGTATGGTGGAGCAATTAAACAAGACCCCTATTCACATCTCCCTATTGGCTTTAATACTCGGTTGAGAGCCTCATCGTAACGCACTTTAGAAGGTTCCGAATGAGGTGTATGTTCCGTACGATATCACCTCCAAATCAATAGAACATCTAGTGGGTAGAGTATAGGTAACTAGCTACTTGTATTTCATATATGATGAGTTAGGACATTAGGGCAGTAGGCATAATAAAGCCTTAGACATTACCGTTAAGTGCAAGGACTACACAAGTAGCAAAAGTGTTGATTGATAATGGATCCGCATTTAACGTGCTACCTAAATGTGTGTTAGATCACCTACCAATTGATCCTTCTCATGTGAGGACAAGTAAGATGACATGTGCATATGATAGTATGCTTTGATAGGTCACTAGTGACATAGACATAGATTTGGCATTAGATCTCATCAATTCCAAACTACCATGCAAGTAATTGATATCTAGCTTACCTATACCATACTCGCTAGGAAGGCCTTAGATTCATTATATTGGTGTAGTTACATCTTTGCTACACCAATGATTAAAATACATAGCTAGTGAGAGCCTCGGTTATCATAAAGAGCGAGGAAGCGATGATGGTGATTCAAAATGTTTCAGATCCTATTTATTGAGATAGTAGGGGCCATGTATTGGGGATTTACATGGCTTCGAGGTGGTCGATGTAGAATTAGTCTTAGAGAATTCATAAATGAGAAGGCCAAAACTGTTAGAAGTTGTGAAAATATCAACTAAGTACATGCTAAAATGTGGAACACATCTATTTGAGGTGAGTGGTGACTTATCGGATGTAGGGATCTACATGAAGTCAAGATACGGAGACCACCCCTTTGGGTTAAGCTTCAAGCGATCTAGAAAAGACTATCGGTGGATGGTAAAGTAGAAATGAGAAAAAGAATGGCTCATATTGAGGGGCGTGACTCAAACGAAGAGAAGATTGATATCCCCTATATCAATGTCACATTTCCAAAGCCTTCATATATAGCTCATGTGAACAATAAGGAAAAAGTGAGAGAGAGAGAGGGAGAGAAAGGGATATAAGGAGAGAGAGGGAATGGGAGAGGAAGAGGGAGAGAGACGTAGGGAGAGTGAAAGGGAGAGAGGGAAAGGGAGAGAGAAGGAGAGAGAAAGAGGGAAAGATGGGGAGAAGGAGAGATAAGAGAGGTAGAGAGAGGAAGGAGAGAGAGAAAGGGAGAAATGGAGAGAGAGAGGGATAGAGGGGGATAGATAGGGAGAGAGGAAGAGAAGGAGAGAGGGAGACAGAGAGAGGGAGGAAGATGAGAGGGAGAGGGAGGGAGAGAGAGGTGGGATAGAGGGAGTGAAAGAGAGAGGGATGGAGAGCGAAGAAGAGAGGGGAGAGAGAGGGAGAGATGAAGAGTGGGATAGAGGTAGGGAGAGAAAGTGGAAGAAGGGAGAGAGGGGAAGAGAGAGGATAGATTGAGTGATCGAGAGTGAGAGAGGGGGAAGAGAGGGATAGAGAGAGATAAGGAGGAGAGGGAGAAGGGTAAGAAAGAGTAGAAAAGAAAGGGTGAGAGAGAGAGGGAGAGAGAGAAAGGGAAAGGGAAAAGGGGCATGGAAAGGGAGAGAGAAGGAAAGAGGGAGAGGGAAGGCCGGAGAGGGGGTGAGGGAGAGAAAGAGAAGAAAGGGAGAAAGGGATAGGGAGAGAGAGGAAGAACGAGAGAGAGGGAGAGAAAGAGAGGAATAAATAGGGGGAGAGACAGAGAGGGAGGCATAGGGAGAAAGATAGTGGGAGAGAGTAAGGGTAAGAGGGATGGAGGGAGGAAGATAGAAAGATGGAGAGAGAGGGAGGAGGGAGAGAGAGTATTAGAATAGGAGGAAACAGAGCGTGAAAGAGGGAG